GCCTCACACTTATAAACTGATCACCAGTCTATTCCACGACCGATATGAGACAACCTCAACAGGACAAATAAGCAAGAATCATCAAATGAAACGCGACATTAAATTTGTGGACACTATCATAAAAGACAATCATTTTCGACATGCTGAAAATTTTAAGTGCAAATGTTTTACTGCAGATTGTGGTGATACAGACGATAATTATGATGAAGACGATGAAAAGATTTGTAAAAATGACCATAAATATATAAAAGATGGAAGAACACAAGTAGATTGTGGTGATACAGATGATACTTATGATGAAGACGATGAAAAGATTTGTAAAAATGACCATAAATATATAAAAGAAGGAAGAATTCAAGCAGAGGTAAAGGAAAAAATCCACGAAGATGTTCATGAGGTGATCAATCTAACAAAACTTGGAAAGTTCTTCCTGTTATGAAAGTGAACCAACATTACCACATGTAGGCCAAGAGTTGAGCAGTGATCTATTAGAAAAAAGTTTGGTGATAAATGTAAGCCTTGTTGAGTTCAGGAACTGCTCCTAAAGGTAGCTTTCCGCCCGAAGGAAGTCAAGAAAATACTCGAGTTAAAAGAGCTGTCCCTAAAAAATGCTGAGTCTCACACAATAAGGAAAATCATAGTTTTCGCATCACTCGGGGAAGGTGTCGTAGTGAAGATATAAATGAATTGGATTTCAATCACTTCACAGTTTTATGGAAAGGAGAACCTTATGTGGCTCGAGATAATCCTGGGATAAGCTATCTCCTATGGCATACTGGTTGCTTGACATGTTAATGTTTTAACGACTATGTTACTCATAACACAAGCACATACAATGTGTTAACTATTCCTTTTATGTGTTCAGGAACACGTTTTTTGTATGAAAATCACGGTGCAAGGGAGAAGGTTTTCTATCTTAATCGTCAGAATCCAATCTTGTGCCCAATGCAAGTACTCAAAGAGGCGAAGGCTATGTGTTCGTGTAAAACCCGCAAATGTACGAGATCGTTATACAAGTAATAAGATTTGTAAGTTAAGAACGTCGTTCCCACAAGGAATAAGATATAATATCTAGTTTAGTAGCTTTTATTAACTTCGAAGTAATAAAAAATCAAAGGAATTGTTTTGTATGTATTATATACTAATCTTAAACTAAGAAAGCAAATAAAATATTTTTCTAATACATGAATGTTTGTATTGGAATCGTGAAATCCTCTTTTGCCATTTAATTCAACTCTTAATTCATAATTTAGTAAATTCATGCATTCAAGACAATCGATAATCCACTTTTATTCAATATTTTTCCCCAATATGTATTAAACCTATGTTTAACACGACTCGATTCTATTCCTAATCCGAATTCATATGAAAAACATGCATTGATTCACATGATTTATCATATATGGTTGCACATGCCATAGGTATTATTCAAAATACCTATTGTCCATGTGTTGATTTTATCGCGTTTTAGACTTAATGTGAGTATTTCTATATTACAACAAGCAATTTATTATCAATTGATGATCAAACAATCAAATAGTTCAATAGGAATGCATAGGATCTCCTCTTATAGATAGACTCAAAAATCGATCAGAGTTCTTTTTGTACCCCTTTGCCTATTTATTCTTTTCTTTTTTTTTTATCGAGTCAAAAAATATTCGAGTTATAAAGTATGAACTACCCCCTTGCTGTTGCAACACCTCCTAAAAAAAAGAGTTTCCCTTGGACTACGAACGGGAAAGGATGAAAGCGAGTCGGTATGCTAATTCCTCATCTGCAAATCAGCCCTTCCCGTAGGGTATTTTCTCAACGAATAAGTAATTGTAGGAGTTAAATCTTGATATAATTTGAAAAAGCAAACAAGAGGTCCAAGGCAATAAAATATGAAAAATATGTATTTTTCATATTTCTAAGATTAAACAAAAGGATTTGCAAATAAAAGTGCTAATGCTACAACCAATCCATAAATTGTTAAAGCTTCCATAAAAGCTAGACTAAGCAATAGAGTACCTCGTATTTTTCCCTCTGCCTCGGGCTGTCTCGCGATACCCTCTACAGCTTGACCCGCAGCAGTCCCTTGACCAACTCCAGGTCCAATAGAAGCAAGCCCTACGGCCAATCCAGCAGCAATAACAGAAGCGGCAGAAATCAGTGGATTCATGATAAGTTCCTCGTACCAAAAAAAAGAAATGGTTAATGATACAATCAACCAATGAATTATGACTTAATTATTCCATCGGTAAGATTCATCCAGTCGAAGTAACTAACAACTTCGAATTGAAGTAATAATATTATTGAATCATCAGAACTATTTCGATATCTCTCTTTTTCGTTTCTATCCACAGAATCTTTGTGAATCCATAGGACTTTCGTCCTTCCATTTCTTGGTTCCGAACTGTTATTTCAATTCTTCCATCTTTTTCTTGATTTCATCCCCTTATTCAGTCAATTCACAGTCACAACGAGATGGAAGGACTTCTATTGGAATCCACATACAGTAGTAGAGAAAATGAAATATATCTTTAGTTCATATATAACTAGTCAATATCTAATATCACATATACATGTCTTTCTTCCCTAACGTAAACCAAGCATT